AGAAAGTGCCATACAGCCTTCCATAGTGGTTACACCATGTTACACTCCCACCAACAGTGAATAAATGTTCCAGTTTTCCTGCAACCTTGCCAGCATTTGTTGTTTGCCGTTCTGTTGAATTTTGCTATTCTTTCTGGGGTGAGATGATATCTCATAGTTGTTTTGATCTGCATCTCTCTCAGAGCTAGGGATTTTGAACACTTCTTCATGTGTTTGTTTGCCATCTGAATGTCTTCTTTGGTGAAGTGTCTGTTCTTATTATCCTATGGCCATTTTTTAATTGGGTTGTTTATCTTGTTGTAACACATTTTTTTAAGACTCCCGTTGGACAGCCATTCCAGTTCTGCCTTTTTGGGCCTATTAGCTGCACAGGGGTCCTGCCAACCTGGCAGTGCAAACAAGTTCCTCCCCTAGGCCCAAGGGACCCTGGTGCTGGATTCCAGTCCTGGAGGCAGATGGGCCGAGAGCCAGCCCAGTGTCATCCCTTAGTAGCTGGATATTCTTTAGCTGTCCCTTCCCTCTGTGAGCTTACTTGACCTCTTTGAAAATCAGAGTGGTCATGGCAGCTGCATCTGGAAGCTGGGAGCAGACAGTGTGTTGTTGAATTATGTAAGGCACCTGGAGCAGTGCCTGGCACACAGCGAGTGCCATAAACATTTATTCTTTTTGCAGGGCAGCTTATCAAAGTCCAAATACTGCTGCCTCTAGGCCCATATTTCTCTCCAACTTGGCACCTGGCTCACCTGGTCCCTCCCTGGAGATCCCGGTTCCATAGGCTTAGAGGGTGTTTGGAACAGGCTTCTAGGCAGGACTGCGGAGCTTCAGGCATATGCTTTAGCCATATTGTCAGAAGGGTCCAGTCTCTGGAAAAGTCAACAGCCAGGGAAAGAAAAGAAGACCCTCAACAATGTGGATTTAACACATGGCTGAGAAAGTGGATCTGAGTACAGCAGAGTTTGTGAGACCAGAACAGCACTGGGCAGGTCTCCTTGTCTCATACACAGGGTCTCTCTGAGTCAGCAGCCACCTCTGATCCAATGCGTGCTGGCACAGGGGGAGAACCCCAAAGCCCCCACACCACACCCCAAAGCCCCCGTATCCCCTAGAAAATCCCAAGCAGTTATTCTTGAAAGCAAGACTTAATAGGTTGTAACCTTTAGGACTTTAGGATGTCCCAGAACTTCTTGTGCAGATGTGATAAAAATGCAGCTGGGGGTGGGGGGCACCCCCACAAATCATGTTTCAGTTTAGAAGGGGGATTCAAATATCTTTAAATTACACAGCTGCCCATGGGATTCTGCTGAGTCTGACAGAGCAACATTGGGTAAACAGGGACACAGTGGCTTTGGAGTTAGATAAGCCCACATCCATATCTCCCTGACGGATTTTCTGTCTGTGTGGCCTTGAGAAATCTCTCCAGATCTTGCTCCCTTATCTGAAAAATGAGCTGCTTAATACCCTCCCCCTGAGGATTAAATAGAAATATTTGTGTAGAGACCATAAAAGTTACCATCACAGGCGCCAGTGTATGAAGGTATAGCTTGCTTTATTTATCCATAGCTTATGCTAACTTAGCCCATGACCTCTTATTTCTGCTAAGAGCGTAAAGCTGCATCTGGAAATTCTAGCACTACCTTAGACCATGTCTAGTTTATAAAAACTCAGTCTCAGAAAAGGGGGTGGGGGAAGACCCTGCTTGTGTGCTGACTCTGTTTCAGAAGAAAACCAAGTTCCTCGTGCCCGGGTGATCCTGGCTCTCCCAGTGTTTTCACGCAGCGAGGCTGTTACTTGGCTCTGGCATCCCTGCCTAGCCAGTACCTGTGGTACCTGTGGTACCTGTGGTACCTGTGGGCGCTCGCTGCTTGGCCTGGACTTGGCCTTCTGGTCTCTCCCTCAGACCATCGCCCTTGTCAGCCCCTTGTTTCTCTGCCCAGAGCTCTCCACAACTGTCCCCTGAGGTGTCTGCACACCTTTTGGGTGCCTTGAACCAATTCTCCGGACCTCTTCCTTAAACACAGTGATGGGCTGCTCAGGTGCCATATTGAATATAGGGCCTTACTTGGTTTTGATCATTGTTGATTCCCTCATTCCACCACCTAGTTCAACCCATGTTGTTGTAGTTGTGTTGTTGTTGATTGCTGTTGAGTCGAGCATAACTCATAGTAACTCTATGAACAAAAGACCTAATGCCTTTCTGTAACTGTTGTCCTTTCTCCAAGTTCATAGAGTTTCCAGAGGCATGTGGTTAGAAAGTGGATGCCACTCCTGCTTCCAAACCTGTTTTACAGCTGGGAGCTCCACCAAACACTGTCCACATTGGGAAGCCATTCTGGTATGTGACACCTCAATGGTACAAGGTTCAGCATCACAGTAACCCAGGTTACTCCATACGGCACATTGACAAGGAGTGATGTACAAAGTGGAAGAGTGTTCCTCCAGATAGAACAGCACTAGTTTCATTTAGCAGTGGTTAAGTGTTGTCAAGTCCAATACGACTGAGAGTAAGTTTAGCACAGAAGACAAACTCTGTTCTCTAACTACCATCATTTCTGTACATTTATAGAGTTTAGAGAGTTTGTAGAGTTTCCAGAGGTATCTAGTTTCCGGAAGTGGATGCCATTCCTGCTTCCCAGCATAAATTGGTCTGGAAGCCCATCCAAACACTGTACATAATGGGTAACCATTATGCTATTTGACAAGACTATGGAAGTGTATGCAGCATCACAGCAACACCAAGTTGTTCAGTTCAGCAACAGACAAAAGAATGCTGCACCATTCAAGGAATATTCATTCAAAAATAAGCCATCGCCTTTGAGCAGCCTTAAATCCAATCCACGTTGTGATGAAAAATTAACTCCTTCATTGGAAAACTCAAAACACACAGTGACCACAACAAAAAACTCAAGCACGCCAGCACAGGATGGCACAAGACTGGGCAATGTCTCCTTCTATTGTGAGTGGAGCTACCAGGAGTTGGAACAGACTTGCAGAAGCTAATAGCAACACAACCTCTATTAGATGAAGGACTGAAGTATGTACGGGGCCAGAGCTCCATATCTGACTCAGTTTCCCATGCTGGACATTGTATGCATATCATTTACACGGGCGCATTATATGAGGAAAATACGAACCTTGGTCAGATAGCAGTGACAGCTGTGATGAGGAAAAGGATGGTTCCTCCTGCGTGTGAGGCTTCGCTGTCCTGACTCCGGCTGTGACTGTGACTGTGACTGTGTCAGACCAAATGGGCCTAGGAGGGCACCCAGGAGGAATAAGCCACAGACCAGCGATTCATCTGCTTTAAGTCTGGAGTGAGCGGGCCTCTGCAATGGGCCCTGTACCCCATCCAGCAGGACAAGGGGTGCTGTCTGTGTGTGCCTATCTCTTCCCTAAGGGGGAGAACCACCACCGAGAGGTAGGAATATATTTCTCTGGGTTGAACCCTACAAAAGAATAAATGGTCAAGGAGACCATCACTCCCTGCAGGTGGATCAGGGATCAGGGAGTACCCCAGAATCTGAGCTTCCCCCACAAGAAGTCTCAGTGTGGCAGTCATTAAATCATTCAAAAAGTCAGCAGCTCTTACCCACCATCTCCTGCATGGCAGAAAGATGAGGCAGCCTTCATCCACAACAGTGATTGTAGTTGTTGTTCTTGTTGTTGTGTGCCATAAAGTGGGACTCGACCCATCGCCTCCAGCAGGGTTTCAAAGGCAGCAATGACATGGGAGGAGAATGCCAATTCTTCTCCTATGGAGCAGCTGGTGGATTTGAACCATGTACCTTCAGGATTACAGCCTTGGAGACCCTATGGGGCAGTCCTGCTCTGTCCTAGGGGGCGCTGAGCCAGAGTGGACAGCATCTGGTATCTCACTCTCCCGAAGGGACAGCAGGCATGTCCCCCACCCCACCTCATGCTGACTCTGAGTGGTGACTGCCAGCACAGAGAGGGACAAGCTATACAAACGTGCTTTTATTTCCCAAGGGCCGCAGGTGTGGGGAGGGGGTACATAACTTGGGTTTCAAGTGACGCCTTTAGTAGGGGTTATTCAGGGTATGTGCCATGATGGTGCGGATAGCCATCCATGTCTCCTGGGCAGTGGGGACAATCTGTGAGGCTGGCAGCAGGAAGCCATAGCGCCCGGTGTCGCGGAGCTCGAAGCTGAAGGCATATTTGATGCCGTTCTTATAGGCCCAGTCAACGGTGATGCCGCTTGCCACGTCTGGACAAAACAGGCCAACAAATGCCCGGAAAAGATGCATGGGCCGTGGCCACAGGGAATAGAGGCATCCTGAGTGGACAGTGGGTCCTAGGAACAAATCCTCACCCACCTGGGGCCACCTGCCCAACCCAGGCTGAGCCTCACCCACACAACCCACTCCCACCCTGGGAGAAAGTTCCTTGAGAGCAGCAGATTAAGGTCTTGTCCCAGGAGGATTTAGCAACGGGGCAATTATTAGCAGCTACATAGTAAAACTGCAACAAGCAGCTGCCTGGGGTCCCCAGCCTCAGCTAGCTATTCACCCAGCCACCCAGTGGTGGGCCCAGCCTGCCTGGGGGTCTAGCTTTCACTCAGATTCTGGATCTGCCAGGTAGACCAGGGGCCTGAGCCAGGGGAAGCTCACTCACAGAGGGTGGTACTGATGCTGCCGAAGATGTACTCCACCCCATGGACCTCATACAGCGCCTTCGCAGCCTGCTTGGCCAGGTGGTACTGCAAGATGAGATCCGGGGGTTAAAGGTCCTAAAAAAAAAAGCATCCTCACCCACATCCTCCCTAGCTGGGCAGAGGCATGAACTGGGGAGTCCTGCAGGTTAGACATGCAAGTGGATCTCAAGAAAAGGAAGCATAGCACCTATTACTTTGAACTTGACACCAAGAGCACCCTTGTAGCTGGTTTTCCACCTTCTCAATTCCCTCACAGGGAACTCTGGTGGTTTAGAGGTAAGGAATTATATTGCCAACACAAAGACACGTGGTTCAAATCCACCAGAAGCTCTGTGGGAGAAAAGTGGGCAATCTCTTCCAGTGTGATTGAGAAGCCTCTGGAGAGTCAGCTATGAGTTGGTTCAAACTCAAGTATACACAACAATGACAACAACAGTCCACTCACAGAGAAGGGTTCTTCCCGCAAACTGGTCATGCTCTAGCCGGCCAGTTGCTGAGTGAACCCTGCCACCCTGCAATCCTCAAGGCCTTCATGGCTGAGAACCTGCTGTAGCAGAGTGCCGGACCTCTCTTCTGAGGCACATTGGGATGGGTTTGAACCATCAACCTTTTGCTTAGTAGTCAAGTGTTTAAACATTTTCCCCCTCTCCCCGTCCCAGCACCTCCTGTCGCCCAGTAGAGTGGGTCAGGACCCTGAGCCTGGCACATGTGGGCTTTCTGAGGATGAGACCTCCTCTCTCCTCCCCCCGACCCTGATCAGCCAGTTTTACCAACTCATTCTGGTTTGGAACAGGCTCCAGCATGTAGCCATACGGGTACATGAGCATCTGAGAGTAGCTGTGGATGGAGATCAGGGCCTTGATCTTCCCGTGGGCTTGGATGAACTTCACCATGGCATCCACCTCGGGTTCTGACTGAGGATACGGCCCGTGGTAAGTCTCTGAGCAGGGGTTGTTTTTGGAACCATTTCCTGAAAAGGGAAATAGAAACACCCATAGAGTTAGAATTCTCCAAATCCCAGACCCATTGCCACCAAGGTGATTCTGACTAAGATCAACTTCATAGGGCGGAGCAGAGCAGCACCGCAGCACCAGAGAGTGTCTCTAGGGCTGTAACCTCCCGAGGGCAGGCAGCCTCATCTTCCTCCCGTAGAGCACTTGCCGGGTTCATACAGATGACCTTTTATTTAGTAGCCAAGTGCTTGAACACTGCACTGCTAGGGCTTCTTAGAGACACTGTTTACAATAAGCAAACACAAGCTCATTGCCATCAAATCAGAAGCAACTCATAGTGACCTTCCTTTAGCGTGAGGGAAGAGATTGCCCTGCTTTGTCCCAAAGAGCTTTGGGTGGATTTGAACTCCAGAGAGATGTGGCCTTGGGGTTAGCAGCACAACTTCCCAAGGATGACGCCACCAGAGCTCCCTTGTTACGTTGTGTGGTGCCAGTGAGTTGACACTGATTCACAGTGTGAACAACCAGTCTGAGCCTTGCCCTATGCCTCACCGTCCTCAGGAGCTCTGGTACGGCTGAGTCCATTGTTACAGTCTCCGTGTCAATCCATCTTGTCGAGGGTCTTTCTTCCTCTGACTCTTCATCTTTCTCTTTTCAAGGACTGGCCCCTCCTAACATCGTGCCTGAGATGAAGTTTCACCATCCTTGCCTCTCAGGAGCACTCTGGTTGCACTTTTCTCCCCAATAGACTTGTTTGTTCTTTTGGAAGTTCATGGGCTATTTGGTACTCTTCTCCAGTACCACAATTCAAAGGTATTGATTCTTCTTCTGTAATCCTTATCCACTGTCTAAATTTCCAAAACAAGGCAAGTAATTGGTGGGTGAGGAGGGGAACATGGCTTGGATCAGAAGCACCTTAGTCCTTAAACTAACATCATTGCTCTTTAGCACTTTGGAGAGGTCCTTGGCAGGAGATTTTTCCAATTGCAAATATTTTTTTAATATTTTTAAAATTTTATTTTATTAATTTTTAATGAACATTTACAAAGATTTTGAATTTCCATTCATTCATTGTTGCACTTTTCTCCCTGCCCAACCCTTCCCCCCGGTTCTCTCCTGTCTTTGAAAAGTAAAAGAAAAATTCTTTAATTGGTATACAATCCCCCCATACCCTCAGACCCCCAGCCCTGAGTACACTCTACTATGCAACCTTAATTCTGGACTCTTGTGATAACCATAATACCCTATCATATATCACTTTTAAATTGTTCTCTCCCTCATCTGTTTCCATGCAGTATACATAATTTATCCAGTTTTTCTCAGTCTTACCCCAACCCTGATGTCAGTCCCATCCTACAAGAGTGGCACCATTGCACATGTCTTTTAATGTACTGACTGTTGCTACCACAGGTTTCATTGTGGATCCAAGTATCATTGACAACTTCAGTCTTTTCTCCATGATGTTACTTATTGGTCCAGTTGTGAGGAGTTTTGTTTTCTTTTTCTTTTTTTTCTGAAGTATTTTTATTTGTTCATTTAACAATATAACACACAAAAAATTACAATCTATATCTATATACAACTCTTTTCTTTCTCATTTACAATCGCAAGATTACCGAGTCCAGAGGAACTGATGTAATCTCTGTATGGAACTATCTTTCAGTAGTTTACTCCAATCCATTTCTTCGTTTATACTCTAAAACATCTTCATTGTGTTGTTTGATTCGATAGCCCCACAAGAAGGCTGAAGCGCCCAAGGTCAGTCCAACTTTCACCCAATTACATTTGCTATTTCGTGGTTCATGAAGGTAAAACTTGGACCTCGCTGAAAGGCTGCTCAGGAGCAGGGCCGGGCGAGTTTTGTTTTCTTGATATTGAAGCCATATTGAAGGCTTCTACAGTAAGAGTTTCAAATCTTCTTCATTTTCTGCAAGCAAGGTTGTGTCATCTGCATAAGCAGATTGTTGATGGGTCTTCCTCCAATCCTGATGTCACATTCTTCTTCATATAATCCAGCTTCTCTATTTGCTGAGCACACAGTTCGAGTAGGAATGGAGAAAGGATACAAGCGTGATGGACACCATTCTAGATTTCAAACTATCAAGTATTTCCTTGTTTGTTTAACAGCTTCTTGGTCTATGTATAGTATTCTGATGAGCATAATTAAGTATTCTGAGATTCTTATTTTTCTCATTGCTATTTATTCACAATTAGTTTTGATCCAAAGAGTCAAATGCCTTTTCGTAGTCAATAAAACACAAGTCAACATCTTTCTTGTATACTTTGTCAAGACCCATCTATTACCAGTAATGATATTCCTCATGTCATGGCCTCTTTTAAATCCAACTTGAATTTGTCAGTTCCCTGTCTATGCATTGTTCCAGCCATTTAAAAATTACCTTCAGCAAGCTATTGCTTGCATGTGACATTAACAATATTCTTGTTGTCGCTGTTGTAATGTGCCATTGAGTCCCTTGCGACTCATAGTGACCCTATATGTACAACAGCCCTAAACCCTGCTCGGTCCTGTGCCAATCACACTGCCTCTGACACACCCATCCTGATTACCCCAGTCACTGAATCAATCCACCTCATAGAGGGTCTTCCCCTCCTGTGCTGTCCTTCAACCCTCCCAAGAATGATGTCCCTCTCCAAGGACTGGTCCCTCCTTACAACATGTTCAAAGTATGTCAGACGAAGTCTCAGAATCCTTGCCTCCAAGGAGGGACCTGGTTTAACCCTCTCCAGGATGAACCTGTTTGTCTTCTTAGCAGTCCATGGTACATTCATTACTCTTCCCCAGCACCACAGCTCAAAGGCATCAACTCTCCTTCTATCCTCCCTAGTCATTGTCCAACTCTCTGATGCATAGCAAGTGAAAGCAAAGACCATGGCCTGTATCAGATGCACCTTAGTCTCTAGAGAGACACCATTGCTCTTCAGTGCTTTGGAGAGGTCTCTAACAGCAGACTTTCCCATGGCAATACGTTTTTTAATTTCCTGGCTTCTGGTGTCAAGAGTGTTGACTAGGGAGCCAAGCAAACTAAAGCTGTAAACAATTTCAATCTCTTCACCATCCATCCTGATATTGTTTGATAATTTCCACACCTTTTTTCGGAATGGGAACAGAATGGATCTCTTCTAATCAGTTGGCCAGGAAAATGTCTTCCAAATTTCATGGCATAGACTGGTGAGCTTCTTCAGGCCAACATCTGTTTCTTGAAATACCTCAGTTGGTATTCCATTAATTACTGGGGCTTTTTCTTTTCTTTTTTTAACCAAAGCAGCTTAGACTTCCTCCTTCAGTACTACTATTGGTTCATGATCATATCTTACTTCCTGAAATGGTCCAGTGTCGACAATTCTTTTTGACAATTTTAATACCCAATAACTCTGTGTATTCTTGTTATCTTCTTTTGATGTTTTTGCATAATTTAATATTTTGCCAGTAGAATCTTTTAGTATTACAATTCAAGGTTTGCATTTATTCTTCAGTTCTTTCAACTTGAGAAGTGCTAAGTGTGATCTTATCTTGATTTTTTACCTCCAGCTCTTTGCACATTTAATTATAATATTTACTTTGCTTTCTCGAGCTGCCCTTTGAAATCTCCCATTCAGTTCTCTAACTTCAGCATTCTTTGCCCCTCTTTTGACTTCTTTTCATTCCAGTGCAAGTTTCTGAGTCTCTTTTAACATTGTTTTGACCATTTCTTTCTTCCTTGTCTTTTACTTTCTCCATGGATGATATCCCTGATGTTATGGCATAACTTGTCTGGTCTTCTGGTTCTTAGTTTTCAAAGTATCACAGATATTCTTGAGATGGTTTTTAAATTCTGTTAGGACAGACCCAAGGTCATATTTTTGTTTACATGGACTTGTTTTCATTTTCTTCACCTTACATTTGAAACTGCATATGAGTAATTCAAAGTTTATTCCACCGTCAGCCCTTGACTTTGTTTTGACTGCTAATCTTGAGCTTCTCCAATGTCTCCTTCCACAGATGTGGTCACTCTGAGTCCTATGTAGCCCAACAGGTGAGATTCGTGAGCATAGTAGCTGTTTATGGTTTTTTTTTAAAAAAAATATTTACAATGAATAAATAATCATTGATTGTAATTTTATTAAGTGATATCCAGATTCATTTCTGTCATCCAGGCCATATTTTCCAGCTACCATTCCTTCTTCTTTTTTCCCAGTATTGAGACGAGTGCTACTATACCAAGATTGCAATCAATGTCAAGAAATGGAATGTTTTAATGGAAAACCGATACACCTGTAAACTTTGACCCAAACTACAGGAACAAGGTTTTGCTATGAGTTGGAGCTGACTTGAGGGCACCTATTCTTTTGTTACTGCAGTATCCCCTCGTCTACTATGACAGAGAAAGGCCACTTCATGACTCGGCAACTCGGCAGCTTGGCAGGGGCGCCCTCTGTTCCTCCTCTGGTTGAATCCTGGTTGTGGTTCCATTATAAAGGCAGGCCTTCCTCAGAAGTCACAAGCAGAGGAAACCAAGTCTCCCTACCCCAACCCCAGATTCTCCTACTGAGCAGGTCCCATTTGTAGTGATCTTCTCCATGACCACAGGCAAGGCTTGTGTCAGCTGAGCTGACTTGGAGTCCGCTGGAGCTTGACCACCTGTAGCCCCAGGGGCTCCCTAGACTCGGGGCCAAGAAAAGGCGGAAACGTAGTGTAACTACAATACTCCTTTGGAGGACAGATGGTAAGATTCTGTCTCCCACACTTGGGCCATGTTATCATAAGGGGCCAGTCCCTGAAGAAGGGCACCGTGCTTGGAGAAAGAGAAGGTCAATGAGGGAGACAGAGACCCTCAATGAGATGGGTTGACACAACGACAGCAATGATCAGGCTCTACGGAGATTGTGAGACTCGTGCAGGACTGAACAGGGTTCAGTCAGAGCCCATTCAACAGCACTTAACAATGGCAATTGCACAACGCTGCTGAGAGACCCACAGATACCAAGAAGTCTTTGAAAAGTCTTCTTGGGGCCCTTGATCTTACTGTTATGTGTCATTAAGCTGGAATAGACTCATAGCTGAACTTTTGGTGGGTTGTAAGAAACTGTAAATCATGTGAGAGGAGACTGTCCGACTTTCTCCTATGGAGCTGCTGGTGGATTCGAACTGCCTATCTTTAGGTTGGCAGCACAAAATCTTAACCACTAGGCCACCAGAGTTGCCTCCTGGGTCCCTTAGTTGGGTCTGTTTTCCCCACAAGTCTCATTTGTTCCAATCTCCTTCTAGGTTCTCACTCCATTTTCCTTCTCCAGTCTTCCTCTTCCTCTCTTTGTTTTCCTCCCTGCCCACAGGTCATGCTGTGAAGGGCCCCGGCTGTAGAGGCAGGGCAAAGTTTATGGGCCAAGAAAAGTCATCTCAGTTCTTCCTCTTCCTCCTCCTTGAAGCAACAGCACCGAAGCCTGGCCCAAGGCCAAGCATCACCCAGTCTCAGCAGCCTCCTGGTGATGCCAGAGCATCCCACTCACCCCTGACTAGCAGCTGGCCACAGAGCTATCAGGCCAGCTGCAGGCTGGCTCAGATGATACCCAGATTGCACCAAACCAGCCCTTCCCAAGGGTGCAGGTGAAGAAGCACACAGGTGGGAGGGATGTTGACAGATGACTCGTTACCCATAATTAAATTATAGCCATAAGAAAACCATAAACAGAATCTTCCCATCGGAGTCACCAGACCAGACACATACTGTATGCATACAGGCAGGCTTGGGGGCAGCCCTGTCACCAGGGAGCACACACAGACCCCCTCTTTGTCTGCAGGTCCCTGCCTGGAATGGGCACCCGGGAATGGAAGAGGCTGTGCCTCCCAGAAGCGAGGGGGTAAGGAGCAGGCCCAGAGGCTGGAGTGGGCCCTGATCGCAGCGGCCCTGTCTGCTGTGTCTGCCAGGAGCTCCTGCACCTGCCACACTTGATGAATGACAAAAAGCAGCAGATGAGCCGAGCGGGAGGCTGAGAGCTTTGTCTGCGCCTGCAGCCCAGGCTTGGCAAGCGGTTCCCCTGCCAACGGCCAGGTGGCTTTGCCCAAATATGGAGAAACACTTCAGGCCATTAGTTCTGGTTTGAGCTAAGCAGAATAAACTAATCTTCCCACGACCAAATGGGAATTAGCTGCGTGCCTCTCTCTGCCTTTCCCTGACAAGAGGCCTTCCGAGCCTGCCTATTTCACAAGTACCTGCTAATGGATTCATTAGCTATTTATTTCCCCCCCCCCTTTTCTAAAAATGTAATTTGGAGCAAGGGGAAATCTTTGGGAGGACATGGTAAATTATTGAAAGCAGTAATCTTTGGGTAGTGGGATCTGGGGAGCTTTGTCCCCCCATTGGGCTTTTTGGGTTTATGCCTCATTTTTTTCTCTTTCCATTATGCACATACTGATTTTTTTTTCTACTCTGGAGAGACCTATAAGTTATTTTCTTTCAAAAGCTCATTTGTCTTTCGACTAGACAGCCTAACTCGGGGTCCCTGGGCACTCATTTCAGTCAATTCCACACAGACACCCACCCAAGGCAGTTGACAGCTCATCTGGCGGCAGATACACTATTTTTGTGTGGTTGTGTTGTCGCATACAGCCTGTCACACACTCAGACCCAGGCCCTCAGGCAGCCCCCATGTGTGAACTGAGGTCTCTTGTTGGATGGTTCAGAGCTATCTTATTCTTCCGTGAGAATAGAGCTGAAGAAGGCAGATATTCAAAGTTAACAGGCATTCAGCTCTAGAATGCTCTCCCTCCTTGATTTGGCCATCAGGTGAGGACCTGATTTTCAACAGCATTTGTACTGTCCCCTGAGGAACCAGGGTGGACTGGACACCACTGTTGGGGGTTAAGGACTGTGTGTCTGTCTAGCTCCTTTGGAGCTTTGGGACATCTGTCCTGGGTAGACCCAGTATCCACCCACCAAACTGCTGTATTCCTGGGGTCAGAGCCCCAGATTCTTAGCTTTCTGGAAGTCTCACTTTCCTACCTCATTCTTATGTTCCTGGCTTGGTGAGAGGCACAGGAAGACCACCACAAGAGACCCTCATCCTCCACCACACAGCCACATAGATATGTACTGGTTGGTCCAGAGTTACAAAGCAATGGGTCCCAAAACATAAGTCAGGCTGAGCAAGTCACCCGAGCAAGTTTGTCTATACTGGAACTCTTCCTCTTGCTCCCCTAGAAGGCGAATTGCAGGCCCTCGCTCTTAAGAATGAGTCCAGAGGCCTTAGGAAAAGGTGTGCTGAGAGAATAAACCAGGTCATTGGGCCTCAGAGCCATTAGCTGTGGGAGACATTAAGGTCAAATGGCATGCAGGGCCCACAAAAAAGAATGTTCTACACCCTCCAATGGTGAGGAACAGCTGGAGTCTTAAGACTTTGCAAGCAGCAGCCATCTAAGATGCCATCATTGGTCCTTTTCTGTCAAAGACACAGAAATAAGTAGTCCAAAGGACTGATGGGTCATATGAACCTCAATCCCCACAACTCTGAGATAAGAACGAGGTGATGCCCAGGTACCACTGCTGGTTGCTCTTACAGGATAAAGTAGAAGATCTGGACTGAGTCAGGAAATGTGAAACAAAATTCAAAAATATTAAAAAAGAAAAGGCCAGGCCCTTAGCCATCCTTTGAGCCTGTAACAGAACTCACTCACTTCTCCAGTTAAACTTTCAAGTAAATAATATATTGATAAGGTGAATATTAACACCAGCCAGGATTGTTCTAGAACAATGAACTGTACAAGATCATTAGAGCATAGTTAGCTCAGGAATGAAACTTAGTAGACAGGAAAGAAAAGGATAGAAGAATGAGTGGAATCAAGAACCACAGGCAGGCAGAGCTGTTAACAGTGGAGATTGGAATCAATGTCATAAGACAAAATAGGTATCAGTGGTCAAATGGTCTACCACTCTGCTCTGGAAGCTTTCACTCAAATCACAATATACAGTTAAATGTTAATAATT